GTCAGTAAAATTAAATGCAGACACACAGAAATAAGAGTTCAGAAACTAAGAAAATAGGCAACTTAATTACAGGGACAAATTCTGGGGCTGAGTTTTATATCCCAGAGTCCAATCTGGAAGATCAAACCTCAACAGAAACAGAAGAAAGATTAAGTACATGAGACTGAACTCATGAAACAGCATTCTGTGACTTGACTTAAATATTGCTGCTTTTCTTCTAAGCTTTGTTGTTCGGTTTTAAGGATTTTTGTCCTAGTAGATTCATGTACCTACTGTTTGAACAGAATACTAACCTGTTCCTAGGCTTTAAGTTTCAAGGAAATATCCTTACCAGTTCAAAACTGCTTTTCTTGAAACCATCAGCTGAACTTGCTATTGAAAGTTGTTAGATTATTTATGATATTGTGTGATCAACGAAATGTTGGGGGAAAAGGAATTGAAGACAACTGTAGACAGCAGAGATAGTGTAATAAGAGAGTGCAATAGGGCAGAGGGTCAGACATGGGGTAAAAACACATATATATGAAAGTAGAAATGGAATATTATGGATGATAACATGCATGATTAAGCCACTATGCAGTTTATTCTTTTATTTAAATTTTATCAGAGAGGGACAGAATGAGAGAGAGAGGGAAAGTGAGAAGGCAAGCTTCCAGGTCCAGGACTTGAGCCATGGTCGGCTATGTGGGACCAGCACCCTTAGCCCCCATGTCATCTGTTGGCCCCAATAAATAATTCTTAAAAAAAAAAAAAAAAAGTGACTTTTGAGCAAAGACCTGAAAGTAAAGCAGCAGAGAGGTGTTGAGATATGCCTAGAGGGAGAGTGTTCCAGATAGAGGGACAGGGAGGGTGGCAGGGTCAGCAAGGAAGCCAGTGTCAATGCTGTGGGTGGAGTGAGCCAGGTTCCCTTTCCTCTACCCTTTCAGAAAGCTGCCATCCCCTGCCTCCTCCTGTAATAGGATCACTGTGCTTGGCAGGGTAGAACTGGTTCTACATGGAGAGTTTTTTTTTTTTTTTCCCCTCAGATGTTAACCTTTTTTTTTAAAACATAAGTAATACTTGCTCATTGTAGTAAATTTAAATAGTGTGGAAGTATAACATGTAAAAAGTAGGAACTTTTGGGACCAGCAAGTGGCATGGTGGTTAAGGAGCTGGACACTCCCATATGGCCGACCAGGGTTCAAGTCCTGAATCTGGTGGCTTGCTTTCTCACTTCCTCTCTCTCTCAGTCTCACCCTCTGTCTCTCTCTGGTCAAACTAAAAAATAATAATAATAATAATAAATGAATGAATAAATAAAATAAAATAAATAATTATAAAAAAAAGTAGGAACTTCTGGTTAAAGACAATGTATTAGACATATATATTCATCTGCTGTCTCTAGAAACCACAGGTATCAACAGAGCAGGAAAGAAGAAATAGTGGATAAAAGAGAAGAGCAAAATTGGAAACTGGAAAAAAGTAGCTGATATAGTAGTTGGAGAAGCTGGAAGGCTAAATGTCTGTATGGGGAAAAGTCAGAAGCAAACCTCTGTATCTATTTAAAGCTGTTAAAATTATTTTGGAAAGAAAAAAAGGAACAAGTTATTTCTGACTGTAGAACCCTGAAGGACTAGAGAAATCAGATAAGCTCCAGAGAGAAAGAGAGAGACTCCTCTCTGACAGGGTCTTCATGCTGTGATCTGCACCCAGCCTCAGCCAGCCTTAGATTGTGGCATGTTCAGGGAGGTCTCTAGATACAAGCCTAGAACCTTCCCATGTGAGTCAGGCTGAGTTACCACTGGGCACCATAGCTGGCCTTGAATGTTTAATCTTTCAACCATAAGTAATTCAATATGCATTTCTTTTCTTATGGCAGAGGGTATATGCACTCTCTGGATAGAAAGGGAAAGTGAAAAAGCACTTCCCATGGAGGATGGTCATGCCATAATCAATCCCTTGTCCTCCATTTCTCCTCCTTTCAGGATTTTGGGCACACATACATGCCTGGTGTGTTTTTCACACAACCAAGTCTGGGACCTGAACCATGCAGTCGACCATGTGGCCTTAACTACCATGCCACCGGCTGGCCTCCATGTGACTTTCTAACAGATTTATTTTTTTAAATAACTACTATACCATAATTACACCCAATAAGAATTCCTTAACTAATCTAATACTTGGTCCACAACTGTCGCAAAATATCTTCATATAATTTGTTTAAGTCAGGATACAGCTCCTTTTTTATGTCATTTATTTGATGAAGAAACTGGGTCATCTGTAGTACAGAATTTCCCTCATGGGACCAGCAGATGGCATAATGGTTATGTTACTGGACTTCCATATAGTTGACAGCAGTTTGAGACCCAGACCTGGAGGCTTAAAACTCATGCCTCACACATGTGCATGAATGTCCAAAATCCCAAGAAGAGAAGGGAGGAGAGCATGACTGTAGCATGGTCATTTCCCCCCGGAGGGTGATTTCTCACTTTCTGTCTCTATCTCTCTGGCAAGCACACATGCCCTGTAACAAAAATATCTCTTCTCTCAGGACCAGCAGGTGGCGTGGTGGCTATGGTGCTGAACACTCCCACATGGTCGACCACGTTTTGAGTCCTGGGCCTGGTGGCTTGCTTTCTCAGTTTCCCTCTCTCTCTCTATCTCTCCCTGTGTCTTTCTCTGCTCAAATTAAGAATAAATTAATAAATAAATAAAATTAAATTAAAAAGTAATTATTTAAAAAAAAGTCTCTCATTATGAACCTGGCCAATTGCTTCTATGTGGCACTGTTTTAACTTGCTGCTCTATCTGCTTAATTTCCTTGATTAGATTCACTTTTGAGTTTTGGATTTTTGTCTTTTTTCTGATAAAAATCCTTCTTATGTGATACTGCACACTCCCTATGGCTTTACATCAGGAGGCACACAACCTTGGCTTGCCCACTTTCAGTGATGTAAAGTCAGTTAGACCATGCTGACATGTTTGATACTGATATCCCCATTAACACTGAAATATCGGGGCCAGGCAGTGCTGTAGCAATAATGCAGGTAATGCAACTGAGCCCTCACAGGAAAGGTCCTGGGTTTGTGTGCTGGGAACTCCCCAAGTGATCCAGGATAACTGAAACTGGGAGTGGTTACAGCATAAGACCCTGTTGGGGTGCCCATTGCTCTCTCATGGAAGAAATAAAAAAACAACAATAAAAAACACAGAAATATTCCAAAATTTGATTGCTAAAGGAATGGAAACATGAATAAATATGTGACAAGCCAAGAATAATAAAAAATAGGGAACCAGCAGTTAGCGTAATGGCTATGTCGCTGGACTCCCACGTAGTCGACCGCGGTTCGCGTCCTGGACCCGGTGGCTTGGAACTCACGCTGGGCACGTGTGCGTGCGTGCCCAGGATCCCGAGAGGAGAATGGAGGAGAAGGGATTGCGGCATGATCACCCCCTCTGGGGGGTGATTTCTCGCTTTCTGTCTCTATGTTTCTCTCTGTCTATCTGGCGAGCGCACGCGCCCTATAGCGAAAACCTCTCAAAAAAAAGAATAATAAAAAATATATATGAGTATATAGGTATTTGTTACACAATTTCCTCAAATTTGAAGTTTTCATAATATGTTGCATGAAAAGAGGACCAATCAACTGGTGTTAGTACTTTTGGCCTAAAATATATTCATTATAAAGTATCCTGTTCATAGTCAATCTAATGGTTTTAGTACACATTGATTATTACATAGATCTATTATTCAGTTAGGGGGTTATGAATGAATTTTCTGTTTTTCTTTTTAATTTTTATTTTAGCTGTGATTCTTATAAGAAAAACTTTTCTTCACCAATTATTTTCTTACATTGAAATATAGCTCTTACAGGAAAGGCAAGACAAAAGCTTCACACTTTCCCTTTATTTATCAATTTACAAAATAAGAAGTTGATTTTGTAGCATTTCCAAAGAGGTCCTTTGAAGGTTTGTTGGGTTTTTTTGACTACAATTTTTATATCTTTGATGTGTTTTGATCTATGGCAGGCATTATTCTTTTTTCTTTTTTAATTGCCAGAGGGTACGTGTGCGTGCCAAAGAGAGACAGAGAGGAAGAAAGCACCCCACACTGGGTGTGGTCACACTGCAATCTCTTCTCTATTTCTACATCCCCTCGGGATCTGGGACATGTGCGTGCATGGCAAGTTATTCAAGTCACCACGACTGGGATTCAAACTGGAATTCAATCCATAGTTGGCCATGTAGGATCTAGCTCCCTTAACCACTAGGCTATAGGGCTGATTCAGACATTCTTTTTAATGATCTAATTTTCCTACCTATGGCCAATGAGAGCCCTTTCAGGTTGGCTCTTGAGCACCACTGGCAAGACCCCATTAATCTCAAATACCTTCTTTGCATTCAGGCAGAACAAGAAGCCTTGAAGGTTACGATGTATAATTCCTGACCCAGACCTTGAATCAACCTTTATTCCAAAGTGCTTTGAGTTCTTTCAGTAGAAAATGGCATTTAAAAATTATACCTAGCACTAAGTATGTTTATTGGTACTAGTTTCTCAATGCTACTTGTCACTGACAGTGGATCAAGCTAGGAAGTATCTGTTTTTAAAAAAGAAAGATAAATCATAGGATCATACTAATATTCCCAATTGAAACTCAGCATTACAGGGGTTTTATTCTAGATATTTGATTTTAAGTTATAACTTTTCTTTTTCAGCTTATGCTAGAGGGAGCATGCGTGTATACACAGAGGACGATAGGAGAGAGAGGAAAGTGCCTCACACCCCCAACAGGGACATGCAATCCTTTCTCCTCCAATTTTTCATTCCATCAGGACCACGGGCACATATTCCCAGCGTGTTTTTCAAGCTGCCAGGGACAGGATTTGATCCCTAGTCAGCCAAGTGGCATGCGGTTTCTTCTGCGTAGCTCTTAACCAGCTCTATAATTCTTTTTCTTATGCTAAAAATCTTAATTCCATATAATACTAGCAAAATTACTTTCAGATTCTTTTGTGATTCATAAGCATGATGGCTGGGTTTTCGCATCACTGTGTGTGACGGCCTCCCTTAAACCTTGTTACACTATCCTAGTATGACCCATCTGACATGAAAAAAACCTACTTATGACATATTTTCTTTATCTACATGTATCTCTATTTCAAAAGAACACCAATATTATTACTAGTAGTAAGATTACTAAATGCGATGTAATACTTCTTTGTGGTTCTTTTTGTCCTGAACATTTTAATCTTACCTGAAGGGTAGTTTAATGGGACAAATCACTGCTGTATCAGCCTAACACCATTGTTCTTTAATTAGGAGTAAAAGAAGATAAGTACGAAAGCTCAAGTCATATCAGTTTTTAGGCCATTTCCCTTCCAACTAGCATCCTGAGACAAAAACAAAACACAAGGTCTGGTTGAAAAAGTCTTAGGGACTGGATATAAACACAGGAGAAACAAATCACCCTACTGAGTAACATGGGGTCAGTGAACTGAAGGAATAAGAGGCCAGGAAAGAAATCATGAACATAATTCTCATTAAACAGGCACAGTAAGTCAGAGCTGACAGGCAGCTGCAAATTTTCTC